TAGAAACGTTCATATTTGACTCAATGTTGACAAATTTGCCAAAAATCAAAATTTCCTGCCATTTCATTGCAACTTTCAAGGTGTGTCGAACCAACCGTCTTTTATAGTTTGTACGAATTTCAAGTTGCTACTTGCGTTAGAATGCAACTTATGAATGTTTAACGCAGAGTCTGCATTTGAGTAAAAAGTTCAACGTTTTCACATTTCAAGATTCACAAACTTCTGGTTGTAATTTAGGTATAACTTTGACACTTTTCACTTATAGAAAACACTTGATTGTGAAAACCCTCAAAGTTTCACAAAAATTGCGCCAAATCCTGATTTGTTCCAACTTTCTAAAAACTGAGCAAAAATCACTAATCCTCTCAACTGCGCGCTCTTCTTCCCAACCTCGTAGCTTCTAATCAAAACCCTGCAGCAACAACAATATTCACGCGACAATGTCACAACATCATCGTCAGTCAATTCGAGTATTTTTTTTTAACCAAAACTTTGCAACAAAACACAATTAAATGGCCTTAAGAAGCACTTTGGCCGAGCGGCTCTTTAAAATAATCACCCCCAAACGGGCCCCAAATGCCAATTACTGCGACTCCTGCGAGAAAACTCAGGCAACCCAGAAAAAATGCACTGCTGATTCCCCGAAAGAACTTGGCCCAGACCCGCAGATCATCCAAATTGATACTCCAGAAGACGCAAGATCAAGAATAATGCAAAAATGCAAAATAGTGATTAGGGAACCCGATGATTACTCGCTAATTTCGGGAGTTCCTCTTCACATTACATGCAGCCGAGCTGTCCGAATCTTCCAGCCGCCAAAAAACGCCCAACAACAAGGTACTTAGTTAGTCTTTGCTCTGCAAAGCCCAGTTTGAATATAGATATATAGAATATAGAATATATAGAAACTTTCACTCACAAAAATCAATTGATTCAAGGAACACGCCACTTGGGCCATTGGTTGATCGACTTTGGTACAAAAGAGCGATGGGAGAACCCGCTAATGGGATGGTGTTCTTCTGCAGATCCACTCTCGAACCTCCAAGTGCGATTCGGCACAAAAGAGGAAGCCATCGCGTACTGCCAGAAGAACCATCGAACATTCTGGGTGCAGGAAAGTAAAACGCACAAGAAATTTAAGGTCAAGAGCTACGGAATGAACTTTCATCATAGCAGACGAACGCGGGTATCGACAAAATGATGTGAATCTTGAGCAATAATAACACCATCGTTAGCTACTAGAGAATTTTGCTAATTGCATAGATTTGCAGGGTTACTTAATCAGTGCAACTTTCTCTATTGCATAAAAATAAGCGACTGATGTTTCTAAGCAATTTCCTTCTCCCCAAAACTCTCGATTCCCCCCTGGGGGAACGATAATAATTAAGCCGATCTGTTATGCAAATTACCTGCCAGAGTTACGATTATTGCCGACCCATTAAAGGTAAATGTTTTAATAAAGTAGAGTTGCCAATTGACACGGCAAAATAGGTCAACTGCCTCAATTAGGATGATTAAAGCCATCAAAAACCAAAGATGGTCGGAGGGATTAATCCAAACTTTCCCTCTTCGTTAATGGGAAACATTTCGTTACCTCTTTGCCCAGAATAGTCACTCAAAGGCCACATGATGACAACTATAATAATAGACTGTAAGGAGTGGCCATCCCTGATATGGAGGCCCTAAATGAGTTTATTAATGAAAGATTCCATTAACACTCATTTTCCATAGCTTCATGTGTTTAATTGCCGGCCCCAAGCGTTAATTTATACTCAACCTACACTTGGAATGCGTGTTAACTCAAACAACAGAAAACAAGAACGACCTTGCAGGCTTGTAGCTGTTTGGCAACCACGTCCATATTAGGCACCTCGAACTCCTTTAACAAAGACTGGTTGAAGTGTCGCCACTTCCTCATTTAAATTAACCGTTTATTTGTGCATTTAATTGTTGAGAATATTAATGGAGAAATGTGTAGGTTTCTGCACGACAATTTGAACACTTTTCTTTGCATAATTGGGCAAGTTTCGGACACATTTTGGGGGAAATGGGAAAATTTGAAAGTTGCACTGAATTTTGCAAGCTATAGGATTCTTTTAAATCTGCTTTAAAAATTCGTATCTTTCAATCTACAGCAAGTAGCTGCTTGAAATTGTGCAGCCTAGAGAAGATACTTGAAGCTGAAAACCCCCAAGGTTTTAATTAAATAGCACTAAATCCCGATATTTGTCCCGATTTTTATATTCAATCGATTCCTTTCATGTCAGAAGGTCACAAATGTGCATTTATACAGTGTTTGGGTCAAAAATAACGAAAAAATCGTCGGTTCAAGATCGTGAACGCTCAAAAAACGCTTAAAATGTGCCGAAAATGTCTATTATTTCGGATCTGAAACTTCTAGCATGTTTTTTAATGAGTTCTATGCATTCCTCGCGTCCGTGAGCTCAAAATGATGTAAAATTTGAGACATTTTGAGAACATTTTCATTTTTTTCAAAAAATCGACCCCGACCCTTGGAAAAATTTCGACCAAAAATCAAAATTTCACATGCGCGTTTTTTGAGCTCAATCGCTTCCTTTCGACGTGAGAAGATCACAAATATGCATTTGCAAAGTGTTTGGGTCCATAATAAGGAAGAAATCGTCGGTTAAAGAACGTGAAGGCTCAAAAACGCTTAAAATGTGCCGAAAATGTCWATTATTTCGGATCTGAAACTTCTAGCATGTTTTTCAATGAGTTMKATGCATTCCTCGCGTCCGTGAGCTCAAAATGATGTAMAATTTGAGACATTTTGAGAAMATTTTYATTTTTYTCAAAAAAYCGACCCCCACCCTTGGAAAAWTTTCGACCAAAAATCAAAATTTYRCATGYGCGTTTTTTKAGCTCAATCGCTTCCTTTCGACGTAAGAAGATCACAAATATGCATTTGYAAAGYGTTTGGGTCAATAATAAGGAAGAAATCGTCGGTTAAAGATCGTGAAGGCTCAAAAACGCTTAAAATGTGCCGAAAATGTCTATTATTTCGGATTTGAAACTTCTAAAATGTTCTTCAATGAGTTCGATGCAWTCSTCGCGTCCGTGAGCTCAAAATGATGTAAAATTTGAGACATTTTGAGAAAATTTTCATTTTTTTCWAAAAATCGACCCCGACCCTTGGAAAAATTTCGACCAAAAATCAGCATTTTACATGCGCGTTTTTTGAGCTCAATTGCTTCCTTTCCACGTAAGAAGATCACAAATATGCATTTGCAAAATGTTTGGGTCAATAATAAGGAAGAAATCGTCGGTTAAAGATCGTGACGGCTCAAAAACGCTTAAAATGTGCCGAAATTGTGTATTATTTCGGATCTGAAACTTCTACCATGTTCTTCAATGAGTTCGATGCATTCCTCGCGTCCGTGAGCTCAAAATGATGTAAAATTTGAGACATTTTGAGAACATTTTCATTTTTTCAGAAAATCGACCCCTACCCTTGGAAAAATTTCGRCCAAAAATCAAMATTTCACATGCGCGTTTTTWGAGCTCAATCGCTTCCTTTCGACGTAAGAARWTYACAAATRTGCATTTATAAAGTGCTTGGGTCAATAATACGGAAGAAATCGCCGGCTAAAGATGGCGATCTCTCAAAAAACGCTTAAAAGGTGCCGAAAATGTCTATGATTTCGGAATTTGAAATCAATTTTCGTCCAAAAACCAATTTAAACCAAAAATCTAAAGTTTCCATCAACTGCACGTTCTGTATTTAAAAAAAATCGTATCTTTTCTAATCTAAAGCAAGTCTTAACTTGAAATTCTCACATTCTACAGAACTGACTGACTCTGAAAACCATGCAATGTTCATCCAAAAATTAATTAAAAATATATATATGATTCTTGATTGTATTCTATTGATTGCACTCAGTGTAAAGCAAAAGCAGTTGCATCTATTTCTGTTTTCTATATAAAAAGTGCCAATTAAAAAGCGCCTGGAAATCTTCACGAGTTCTGGAAAAATGCCCTCAACTCGAAACTTTCACGGCAGTTTAATTTCCTGAGAAAAGTCAAGAATAAAAATAAGTCGAACAAGGAGCAAAAAAACCGCGGAGAAACGGAATACTTTTCAAACCAACAGAAACCGTTCACCGGTTGAAGAATAGAATGGAAATATAAAAAAAAAAATTAGACAGAATTTTGATTTAATTTCCTGACTGCGTGTTATTATTATTATATTATTTATCGTTTATTGCGTTACGTTTCGGCGAGACAACAGCGCCATCATCAGATTTGAAAATTCATTCAAACTCACAATTGGACAGGAAAGACCTAAATGAATATAATATTTACCAATTGTGAGTTTGAATGAATTTTCAAATCTGATGATGGCGCTGTTGTCTCGCCGAAACGTAACGAAATAAACGATGTACAAACAATTTTTTGTTTCGCACTGTGACTGGAGCACAGGAAAGAATATAATATCAGAGCGGAGGTTTGCTAATTTGTCCATTTGGAAGGCTAAAAAAACAGCAGAACTTTGAACCTTTAAAAATTAATAACGACAAACAAAGCAGAGGCACACAAAAACAATGTTAGAATCATCAAGAAAACCTCCCAATGAGCACAAAAAGCATTGAACCCATTGACCCAAGCTATTGGCTCTGGCCCAGAAAATAGCGGCCAAAATGTGAAAACTCAAGAAAATCTACTCTATTTTATGTTACCGATATCACAAGTGGGTTTTTCGCTTTTCAAAGTTCTGAAGATCGGCGCGCAATTTCCACCTCGACCCGCCCGTCACGATTTCTGGATCAACAAAACTCTGGATTCCTGGATGCGGACGGGATCGCCTGGAAATGACGACTCGTCGACGTTGAGGAAGAGCCTCAAAACCAAACGGAATCGGGATGAATCGGAAGCTGGTTCGCCCGCCTCCGAGAGGAGCCGATCGATACGAGGTGAGGATTGGAGATTTTGAGAATCGAGTAATTATAATAGACGATAAAAAGCAGAAAAAAAACAGCCATACAACATAAATTAATTCGGTCGTTCGCCGGCTGGTGCTCGCATATTCATTGACCTGATTCGCGTTTGGGAGGCTCTTGGGGGTGATTTATTGAGCCCTCAAGTGACACAAACATGGCAAAGCCAGCGAGAAGGAAACTTGATAAAATAATTGAAAGCAAACAAAGAACAGTAGTTCGGCAAACAGCCCCAAATCCCATGACAAAAGAGCTTCCTTAGCAGGCTTGTTTTTTCACTTCAGGACTAAAAAAACAGCAGTTTGGAAGCGTTTTGAAACTCCATCATATCTTATCCGATTACACCCCATATAAGTCTGATATATATGATAAATCTGAAGTGTTTGCGACTCCGAATGATTTATTTCCCTCTGCTCTCCATATAGTTTTCCAGTTTATTTGCTAATTGACTAGATAGAATCTTTTGCTCAATCACTTTTACAGACTCGACATGCTTGCAGGCTTAGAGCTGGTCCGAATAAATTAAGCCGGCATTAAATCTCTCTCCGTTTATCTGAAAGTCGCTTTAAATCGGTTCATCTCTTCATTAAGGCTAATTTTAGATGTCGACTAAATACCGGCAACTCGCAGACGCTCAGACGTTGCTAGACTAGTGAAAAACGAGAAAATTTGAAATTTTCCTAAACTGTTGCTGAAAACCCTGACCGCTCGCTGTGCACCTATAAATAAAGCTTCAATCACCCATCAAGACCATGAGCACATGAATGCTTCCCCACTGGCTACATGAATATGAAAATACATGAATGACGCAAAGTTGAGTGCGATTGTTTACGGTTTAGACATGAGAAATTGCAATTGTTTAAACCCAGCTGCCTGAAATCAGTGAAATTAATCAGAGAAACATGCAGATGACGGCTGCATTAGTTCATACTTTACACAGTTTAGCTAAAAGAGCCAAACCCACATACAAATCTGAAAATTGTTTCTGAACCGAAACTCCAAACATGGGTAAAATCACTTGAATGAACATCGCAATGTCGGACCTTCAAAAATTCGCAATTTCCAATCTAGAGCGAATAACAACTTGAAATGCTCACAGTCCATAGAACATACTTGAATCTCGAAATGCTGAAAAATTCATTTAAATCCCATGGGCTGCTGATTTTTGCGCCCTTCTCAAATGTTGGCCTTTAAATGGACGTTTTCACGCAACTGCAGGCTATCGGAGAAAAATGCATAACTTCACATCTAGAGCGTGTAGGAAGTTGACATTTGCACAATCTGTTGAGAGCACTTCAATCTTTCAACACTGAAAATTTCCTTGAAACGACACGATCTGCTGATTTTTGCGCTCCTTGTAAAGGTTGCATTAAAAAACAGCCTCGAGAATAATAATTCATGACTTTCAATCCGGAGCAAGTTGCAACTTGAAATTTTCATACTCTATAGAGCATACGTGAGTCGAAAGACGCTGAACGTTTCGTCTAATTCCCATCAGATGTTGATTTTTGCGCGCTTTGCGAATCTGGATGTAAATATTGACGTCATCACTCAACTGCAGCTTCTCCAATAAAAATTCATAACTTCCGATCTAGAGCGAGTAGCAACTT